TTTTTTTTTTTATATTTCTGAATACTAATATGCAGGAAGAATGCAGAGAGACTCTACCAGCCAGAAGCTGGGTGACGGCCCTACCCTCACTCTAAACACATCACCTCTGCTGGGTTCTCTTTTATACCTTTTTTCAGAAATTGTTTTGTGAATCTGCAGTACACAAATTATAATTTGAAAAACAATTCAGTTTTACAGTTTGAAAATAAGTGCAGTAGTAAACAAGATAAGGAATATGTCTGAAATGAAATAAAAGAATCACAGTATTGCTTTGATTAGAAATAAGGGGATATAACAATGGGAGATAAAGCATTAAGGATATATTTTGTTGAGTTTTTAAAGTTTTAGAATGTGTGATATACACTCTTGGTGATAGAGGGAATGGTTTTCCTCATGATGCATCTGGAATTTATTTTGTAGTGGGAAATAGGGTAGAAATCAAACTACTTTTTTTTTCTCTAGGGTTACCTGGTTTTCCTAACACCATCTAATAAACATCCTGTTATATCTCAATGATAGGAATGTTGTAGAATATCACCCTTATTTCATAAATTCTGGAGTGCATTTGGGTCTCGTCTCTTCTGGGAATCTGTCTGCTGATGAGACACTACCTACTATTGACCATAGCATTAGAATATGTCTGAGTAACTGGTACGCCTAGTTCCTTTTCATTAATACCCATCCCTTTTTTTTCCCCCCAGAACTTTCCTGGCTATTCTTAATATGTTTGTTTCCCATAACAGCTTTAGGATCCATTTATATAGTTTTAAAAAAGGAAATTCTGATTTTGTTGATTTAATAACTTTCCATAAAAAACAAAAACAAAAAAAACAACCCACCATCACAGGGAAGATACACATGAATTACAGGTTGCATTCTGATTTCAGGAAATTAATTGTGAAAACGTACATATCTTAGAATCAAGAAATATAATGATAGAGAAGATTTGTTGCCTGGAACTTAAAACATGGACAGATCAGCACAGAGTAATGTGGGATTCGCACCTTTATAACCCAGTCTAAGCTCATGGTATTTTTTGCGATGACACACGCTGTTGGTTCATATACCTACCAAGTATATGAAAGGATGTGGAAGGCAGGGGCATTCTTACTCGTTTTTAATTTTGATTGAGGGAAGGAAGAAGGAATAGCTCTTCAGCTTCTCCTCAGAGATCATAGGTAAACTTTCAGCCAGTTTTTGTTGTGGTTGTTTCAATATGGACAGTATTACACTGAGAAAGGGATGCTGGGGTTGCTTGCATATTATAGGGAAGACACTTTTCTTCTCCCTGGAGAGCTCGATGCGAATCTTATCTGAAGAGGCAGTTACACTGACTGTGGACACAAGGCTCTCAGAAATAAATATGTTCTTCCTTTTTTTCCTGACAGGCAGCCTTGTTTGCACTCCAAAATCTTTTTGAAGCGCAGTATGCTCCCCGGCCTATCTTCGTAAGTTCTCAGATGTCTGCGTGATAAATTTTGTCTGTTATTAATAACTGTCATTTCGAGTGTAGGTTTTTTCCCCCCTTACATTGTAGAACTATTGATGATATCTTTTAGAAGTCACCTATTTTAACTTCCTCCGTGCATTTCTCTCCCTCCACCACTGAAGATCAATAGCAGTCTTATCACTGGAGAGGTGATTGGTGGAAGGAAGACAGGCTATTGAAAAGAAGCCCAGCTATACTAGTCCCCTGAAGCCAAAGGCTTAAAGACTCCATCTCATTAGGGTCCAAGGAGGGATGGACTTGCCTGCTGACTGCTAAGTGTCTAACACTGAAGATACCAGACTGCCAATTTATTAGCTCAATAGATTGCTCAATGAGAATAGAATAGAATCAAAACAGTGGGTGTTAGATAACTCAGATGTTTAACAGCAGGAGGCCAGGATGACTGAGGTATCTTCGGGAAAGCTCCTCCATGCAACTGGATTTGTGAATTCTAAAGCTGTTTTGGTCACTGCTTTTGCTTCTGTGCCTTTCTCTTTTCTCTGTTTCTGTGGCCTGCTACCTCCTCCCCCAGTCACTTGGAACGTATCTGTTCTGACTTTTGTAAAAAGAACTGCCTACCTGGTTGATCCTGCCAGTAAAAAAAAAACTTGTTCATTTTATTTTGTCCTTGTGACTATATTCTTAACTTGACTTTACATTGTTAATTCAGATTTCAGGGACGATTGTTGATAAAAGTGGGCGGACTCTTTCTGGACAGACAGGAGAGGCATTTGTCATCAGTGTGTCTCATGCAGACCCACTCTGGTGAGTGATTGATCCATCTGTCCTTGACTTCCTTCCTTTTGGGGGCGTCTTTTCTGATGGCTACAAAATGTGACCAGGGGAGGGGATTGCTTCAATCAGTTTCCGCTGTACCAGTTCCATGGCATGCTGGCTTTCCTTCAGGCACTTTCGGACTTTCCCTAAGTCCTTCGGAAGACCACTGCCTAAATGGTCCATTTGGAGGACTGGGAGAGTTGTCATATCTCTTGGGCCAGCCAAGTGGTTGCCTCTTTGTAGGCAGCTCCTGTGTAGTTAAGACCGTGGTTGGCTGGGTAACGCTTTAAAGCCATTATCAGTCACTTACATTTTTAGGGCAAAACTTTGGAAATTTTAGGACAGTGCCATTCCCTATTTATGAAGCAACCAGAAGCAGTCTAGTTTGGAATGGTGGAATTTAAAGTTCAGGTTTTTATCTTTATAATTAACATGGCTTTTACAGTCTATTTTAAAATATTTTCCTAGTTTTGTTTTATTTTTCATATCAAAATGTTTTAAATTATATACTGTATTAGTCTGTTTTTGTTGCTTATAACAAAATGCCTAGAACTGGGCAATTTATAAAGAAAACGGAATTTATTGCTTATAGTTTCAGAGGCTGGAAGTCAAAAGTCCATGGAACACATCGAGTGAGAGCCTTGTTGGTAGTGATAGTGACACAGGGGTCTCATGTGGCAGAATGGCAGAGCAGAGAGAGAGAGAGCGAGCTAACTCCTCATTCACTGTGCTTTTAAAGCCACCAGAACCATCCCATTATTCCAAGAATGGGTCAGTCCATTCTGAGGGTGCAGTCCTCACAAACCAATCACCTCTTCAAGGCCCCACATTTCAATGACCATCATAGGATTTCCCACCCTCAACAGTTAACAGTGGGTTTAAGATTCAGTGAGTTTGAGGGGACATTCAATCTACATCACATACCATAAGTGAAATGGAAGAGTATCCAAGAGCATATACTAGTTTTTGTTTTTTTTTTTACTATTCTACCTGGAAAATATGCCCGCTCCCTCTCCCCATCATTCTGTTGACTCCTTAGCTTTTAAGACTCATCTCAAGAATCTTCCCTCCAGAGAACCTTCCCCCTGTCACCAGCCCAGGGAGATGTTCTTCTCAGAGCGCTCTGTTTACTTTTATTATAGCCTTTGGAATAAAAATAAGAATAATAGACATTTATTGAAAGTTCACTATATGCCAGGCTCTGATTTAGGTGATTTATTGGAGTTCTTTCTTGTATTTTAGTAACAACACCTTGAGGTAGGTACTGGTATTAACATCTTAATTTTTTTTTTTTTTTTAAATTTTTATTTTGTTGATATACAATGTGGATGATTATTATGGCCCATCACCGAAACTTCCCTCCCTCCTCCCTCTCCCCCCTCCCACCCAACAATGTCCTTTCCGTTTGCTTGTTGTAACAACTTCAAAGGATTGTAGTTGTTATATCTTCTTCCCCTCCCCCCCGGTTATTTTTTGTGTGTGAGAGAATTTATTTATTTATTTTTAGCTCCCACCAATAAGTGAGAATATGTGGTATTTCTTTTTC